AAGAATTAAATGTTCAATACAATTATTTTTAGATTTAGATTTTTATTTTAAGATTTTATTTGTATTTTTTTTATTCTTATTTAGTTTGTACATTTTAAAATTTGTGATAAATTGATTCTTATTTTTTAAGCTTTTGTCAAATAATGTTAATATTCTTGTAAAAAACAGTTGTAATCAATTTTGTAAAGTTTTTTGAATTCATCATTTTTTTAAGTTAATAAATTTCTGAATTTTTGTATGAAATTTGTCCTTGAAATATTTTTAGACAAAATTATTATTTTTTTTAAAATAATATTTATTAAATAATTTTATATTCTAACGAGTCATTTTCGAGCCGAACACGAACATGAAAATGTAATTCGAGCCGAACACGAACACACTGTTCACGAGCCATTTCGAACACGAGCCGATTTCGAACACGAGCCAGATTCGAGCGAGCCGAACACGAGCCGGGCCTGGGCTTGCTCAAGCTCGGCTCGTTTACAGCCCTAATGTATAAAAAAATCCTTTTTAGCCACCTGAATCCTGCAAAATCCTACATAATTCAGTGCCAACTTCGTCCCATCCTCTCATTATTAACAAGCAAAAATTAAAAAATTAAAAAATTAAAAAATAAAAAAGTAAAATCCTCCTAAACTGAAACATCTACCCAAAATCCTCTATCCCACCAAAGCGTGCTTAGAAGTGACATATTTGTATGCATCATAAATTGTAAAATACTCCTGCAAATGAACATATTTAGATTCTTTAAGACTTGCACAAATTTTGTAGATAAATATTTCAAATCAAACACAATGTTTTGAAATTCGTGAACTATTCAGAAAATAAACTAAAGCATCTCACAAATGGACAAGAATTCATGCAACTGTATTGAGATGTGTGCACTATTAATATAAAATATCCACATGTGCTCCAATAAGTGTGTAGAATGCTTAAATATTTGATTTTTGGGGTTAAAATTTTAAAAAAAAAATTTATCTTTACTACAAGAAGCATGCAAGTATATCTAAAATTTACAAAAATCTCTTTTTCAAAATCAAATTCAAAGTCATTAAATGAAGCACACTCACAAGTAGAAAGGCTTTGTTTAAATGAGAATGTCATAAGTCCCACATTGGCCAATCTAGTTCTCCTCTAAGAAGTGGAGTTGATAAGAATAATGCCTGTACCGATATTAAAGTAATAATTTTTAATTAAATTATAAATGCGAACACTTCAAATTCTTTGATGATGGCCGTGTTGAAAGTGAATCTCAATAGGAGATCTTATATTAGAAAAGCTTTTATTTTGCATGAGTTTAAAATTTTTAAGAATATTATGAAATTTAAAATATTTAAATGAAATATATTATCTAAAAGCTAAAAGCAAACTCCTTGCAGGATAAAAAATTATTTATTGTGTGTGATAAAATTGACATTAATCTAAACCCATACGAAGCCAATATCGTATTAAGCATACTACTACATTTATACTTAAAATAGCTTGCGCCAGCAAGGATGCGAACTAAGTACTCTATCCACGTTCTTCGTTCAACAACGCCACAAATATAGCAATCATGATTAGGTTTATCTTACAGAGTTGTTTGATTATACATATTCACTATATTACGATCACAGTTGTAGCCTATATATTCTTAATAACCTCCTGCTCATATATTCTTAATGACTACCCATTTGAGTCATGAATCACAGAGCACACTTGACAGAACAAAGTCCTTTCTAAAGCTAAGATCGACTTGAATTTATTAACTTAAACAAACATCAATCTCAAGCCTACAAAATCTCCTTGAACCAAAAAACTCATAACTACCAACAACGATCAATCTCTCAGGTTAGGTCGATTATTTCCTCTAAGTAGACTAGAGACCCTGACAACCTAGAACAACAAAATCATAGTTATGATCGAGTTCAATATCATTCCCCCGTCGCTGACCCTAAGCTCATAATGATAGTTTTTTTTTATTCAAGAAGTTAAATTGCTTTTACTATATATTAAGTAATCAACACTCTAATAACTAGCCTTAATGGAAAGTGTTATCCCATTATATGATGGGGTAATTAACCATAGGAGTTTTCACCTATGGGAAACCTTGAAACTCAGGTTTTAAAACTTGCAAAATAAGGGTAAAATCTCTATGTAATGTCTTATTTATAACCTCATCCGCCTTCTGAAAAAGTTGACACAAAACATAACATAAACTCTCTCATTCATTCAAGGGAGGGCTAATTTTCAAAGCCCAAAAGTATGTGTGGTATTGGTATAGAGTCATTTAATAGTTTCCTTTCTTCCTTCAACTTCTTCATGGGTGTAATTGTGGCAAACATTATCCCTTTTTCTTCTCTCTTGCATGGTGGGGTGCTGGAGTAGCGAATGGATATGATCATGGCCATAAGTGTACCAATCTCTGAAAAAATGTGTACTCAGTTAATGAAACCACTACCAATGACAAGTTTTGGGCTCTTTTCATGCTTCAACTGCATGATATCAAGATTTTTGTGCAAATAACCTAAATGAGATAAACAGACCAGCCATTTGCAGATGAATGACCAAGACTCCTGTAAATATTAGGCTATCCATGAATCATAATTTCTAGAGTGCAAAGAAAAAAGGTGGAAGATTCGAGCAAGGAGAATGAGTCAATTCAAATTATCTAAAATCCTCAGCACATTATAGAAAGGGACCCATAAAGCTTGCTTTAACAAAAAGAAAATTTTGGAGAGAAATTTGCCTAATCTGCTTTAAAATAACACACACAGATCAATATGTTCATTAAAAATGAAATCTACTCTAGCTCAATGAACAAAAAAGTTCTCAAAAGAAACTTTTAAAATCTCATATATATTTCCCAAATGATCCATGGCCAAAAATTGGAAAAGGATATGATTAAGAGATTGGAAATTCAGCATTCCCGCTCCTAAAGCTTGGATTTCAAAAAAGTGAAATACTCCAAAATGGAAGACCCGTGATTTGGGGATCAAATTATGAGCATGATGGTCAATTGGAATCTCAAGTTCAAAGCAGTCTATAAGAAGCAGCTCTTCTCATGGTTTGGGCATCTACTTGCATAAAATAACAATAAGAGGTGCGAAGAAATTGTGTTTGTTTTAAGTTTTGATATTCTTATTTCTCCATAAAATTTACTAATGGAAGTGGTTCTCAGATCATAACATTAAGATTAAAAAGGATAGTCTTAAGAGTCCATATGCATGATCAAATCATCAATCAAATATCATATGCATGAGATCAAGGCTTCAAATTCAAGACTGTTGGATCTAAATCTAGATAAGAGCAAGTTAAGGGTAAATTTAAATTTTAAGCTGTTTTGGATAAGATTATATTTAAATTTAAATTAAATTAAATTAATTTCTGCAGGAATTATCATTTAGTTTGATCGTATTAAGTTGCTTCTTAAAGATAGGATTTTTCTCTATTAGTGGAGTTTATCAAGGTATGATAAGATCAGATCCTTGCTGTGATTGCACATTAAAGACATGAAATTCCAGCAGTAATCATTCCTACCAAAATAAACTTCTGCCCTTCTCTTCCCTTTTGTTTCAGCTACTTTATTGCAGCATAAGCTACAGCTGCATTGCTGATACAATACCTATCGTTGTAGAGCATGGCTACAGACTCCAAATGCCCAAATATTATTTCCCCCCGCTGCTACACCTGTTCTTGCTGCAAACTAGCTGCTGTGTGCTTCTTGATGACTTTTGTTGATTGCCATTGCTGCCCTTTCTGTGTGCTGCTACAGCTCCAATGAGAAAATTGAAGTTGGAACAACAAATAGAGAGTATTTGCTATCTAGCAAAGTAAAACAGTCCATACTTCTGTTTACAGCAATCCAGAAGAATATAAATGTTGGTTTACTGTTGAGTGGAAGCGGACTTCAAAACAGAGAGAAAACCTGCTCTCTACAGCAAGTAGAAGAAAAAACGGCATAGAAAAGTTATCTGCAGATTGAATTTGCGGTACTCTTGATAGCTCAATTAATCGAGAGGATGTGAATCAAACAAGTATAGAGACACTTTTTAAAACAAACTAGTCAAATAAAAGTATGTAACATCACTGAGAACCATAGTAAGTTCCAAGTCATTCTGTTTCCACAAAACAGTCACATCTATTTATTCCGAAAAATTAATGAGTACAATAGTTAGTGAACAAATCAAGCTTGTATGTAACTGTGCAAACAATTATGCTGGCAGTTGGGTTTATTCATGTATATTCCTGCATGCATAGCATACATAATTAGAAACTGATGCATGTTTCCTACCACATATTTTGAATATTTATAAGTTTTGCAAGAAAAAAATAAATATTGGTAAAATTATCCATTTTCCAAAGTAATAATGGCGATGTCAGATTGTATTTCACTCCTACTAAGCATATCATCCATTTAACTGAGCAAAGTGGTGATATAAAAAAGGACTTCCCAATTGCAATCAAATCACCAATCCGGCAAGAAATTGAGATTTCATTCCCCTCATCCTTTTAAACATTCTTAGTACCAATAATCTAATAAACATTGTAAGTCAGCTCCCATAATCAAAATAAACATGCTGACTCAAAAATTCTGCTTAAATAGCAGTGAAGAAATCCAAGGATAGTCTTTCTCAATAAAATGTTCTCCCACCCCAGAGAGATATATAAATGTATGCAGGCCACAGAGGAATAATTCCATAATCATGTGATGGCTTTGAAAACCAGAGAATAAATGCACAAATCATAAATATAATATGTAATTAAATGAAAACTAACCAAAAGCTAAGTCTTGGTCAGCAGTGACATCCAACATATTAGTATCGGCTAAAACCACACCCCCCACACCTCCATTGACATCGCAAGAGCCTGTTGTAGCAAGGCGGTCTCATCATCCTGCAAAAATTATCCAGTTAGAGAAGCTTACTTCTACAATATCACAATGCCTTTAAAAAATATTATCATACTTGTACAAAAAACATTACAACAAAAGCTATATGCATACAATCCCTTGTGTATGTAAACTTCCTAAGTTGGCGCTTTCAAAAAAGTTTCACAAGCCTTCTAGCATTTTTAAAGCGGGTAAAAATGAAGACTAACCTCAAATTGCTTTGCATACTAGGCCTTTATTAGTCAAACTCTACTCAGAAAGTCTAGGCCAAAACAAAGATGCATAATTCTTTAAATCATAGTCATAAAAAAATAGCAAATAAGTACGAATAGTACACCACAAATATAGGAAAAGTTACTCCACTCCAAAGCTTTCCATGCCGGTTTATAATATGTTTAAGAAGTTAGAATCATCATCTTGCTTCTACAGTTCGAGTTAGAAAGTTGGTATACAGAGTTAAACAATGAGATAAACTAATCAACTTGGTCGACTTGATAATAGATGATATAAGAACAGTCCATAAGTTCAAAAATAAATTTTGCTGAAGACTAAAAAAAATTATGAAAATTTTACATTATTTATGAAAAAAATCAGACCAAGCCTCTCTCCAGTATGTTTAGTATGCTCAGCACCAGTGCTCTCCTTTGATTTCTTGTCTGAAAGATGCTTCTAACACGAAAATTTAGCCATGAAGGCAACCTTGCATCATATGAATAGCCACTAGAGTACCAATGCACTCTTTATACTCAAACCTCGAAACAACTTCTGGAAGAAAGCTTACCACTTCCCTAAATCCTAAACCCTAGGCCCATTATGACAGAATATCAAGAATTGGGAGAGAACATGGCAGTCCAGCTGCACATCAGCGAAAGCAATGATGAGGGAGAGCTTTAGAGGAAAAAATAAGCCTTAATATCAATTGCGACAGATTAAAACCTTTTTTTTTAAATATCAAATCTTACTGGGTGAGAAGAAAACTAGGACTAAAGGAAATGAAAAGAAAAACAACCACAACATTCGTGGGCACTTCTTCCATTGCCTACCTTTCACTGCAAATTCTTTAAGGCAAATATAGCAGACAAGGCAACACCTATGCGCGATAGAATCACCTCTTAATAAAATTAAAGCATAAATTCTTTTGAAAATTTTTTTCAAGCAAGCTATGGCTGCCAAATTATCGAGGAGAATGCCTTGGAGAATTGGAGGATGGCAAAGGAATTCATAAAACGAAGTATCATTAACCTGAATTGACAAAAATAAATAAAATTAAAAGAAATGCATCCAAAAACGAAGACAATTTATTAGAATGTGTTTTCTCTCTACACAAAATGGTATGTCACATGGAAAAGTATTTGGGTGCCATCAACAAGGAAATCAGTCCATAAAAGCTTCTGTACCCTTTCATCATGAAGATATTTCATGGTGCTTAAGAAAAAAGTCTGAAATCACTAGAATTTTTTGCTACATTGTTACAGGACACATGCATCAACTATAGTACCAATGAGAAGCTCTCCGGCCATTTGCATGCCTTATGATCTGGGAGTAAATCAAGAAAACATTACAAGTAAAAGGAAAAAAATTGAAAATATAAAATGAGGGATACAATTGCGAAAATTGAAATTTGAATTTCAAAATAGAAGAGGAGCCAGGAAGTAAAAGAAAATTTCAGGGAGAGAATCAAAGAAACTACCCAGAATTCACTCCACAAAGCACCCCTCATCCTAATGGGCCAATCATGTTTTATCGAGAGATCCAATGGAATTTCGCTTAATTTAAGCTTATGATTATCTTCATTTCCTTAATTTAAGCATTGAGATAAGCAGGTGCCCCATCAGTTACCTTAAACTAGTCTTAATGTTATCCATAATTTAATAAAAGAGGATATATGGTCTAAGTTTTCCGAAAATTGTGTAGTTAAATAATGGATAGATATGGTCTACCTCTGAACTTTTTGTAAATAAGAGGCTTTAGAATGTAAAATTCAAGCAGGATGTAAGTGAAGTAAATTCATCCTGAATCACATTGTTTATCTCTTCGATTCGACAAAAGAGTCCCTAAATTGAGTGCCCTCACTCTCGTCCTTTGGCAAGCTGTTCAAAATCATCATAACACGAAGGAATAAGTTCCATGAAACAGAATGACAATCATATCTCCCTCACCCTTGATTAGTAAACCAATCTAATTTCTTTAAATCCATCATAGCATGCATATTTACTAGTGTCCTTGCTTTTCCTACTAGTTCCATAAAACTTGAACTCAATTTTGATATCAGAGTGCTAGTTCCAACCCATTAAAATTTCAAAATGGTTTGTGTTAGATTAAGGGAAAATCTAGTAAGTTCTAGAAAAGATAAACATATGCAATAGATGAATCCTGGAGAAAATTTTATGAAATTGGACGTCTACCTTAAATTTCAAAAAACTTGATGGTTGTGTTTAAAAGCTTTTTGTAAAGTTGATGGTACCAACCCAACATAAAGGCAAAGGGAGTTAGCCTATAAAGAAAAAAAGAAGAAGAGGAAACATGGCAGAAATGAAGATCAAAAAGTGTTTTTTGTGTATCTAATTGTTAGCATGTACAAAAATAAGTCAACATATCATTCAATAATCTATAAGGGCATTTATATGACAAAAAAGAACCACAAACTAAATATTAGACTGGAGCACAAGGTGGGCACTGAATTAAGACGACAATATACCTAGAAGATTCAATATAAAATTGGGATAGGTTTTATGGATTCAAAGATGACAGCTAGCTTTTAGAAAGGTGATTCAAAATAGAAGGAAAAAAAATCTTTTATACCAATCCTTTTATAGTTTTATGTAATTACAACAAATTAGGAAAATAAATTTGCTTCAGCTTCATTCAGGATTGATGATTCTGCATCAATCAGAATACTGCAACCTCGTCAGAAGGTTGGGAATCACACAGACTGATTCTGCCAGAAAAACATGAAAATTCTTGTCAACTGAAAGAATCGTCAGGTTATGGTCACATGAGATGAATATGATTAGTTAAACTTGGACCAAATAATTTTATTAATGATGTAATTAAAATCATCATAGTCAACTATTGCTCTTATTTATGTGTTATTAGTAGCGTACGATCATATGTATCTGCAAAAGAAAATGGCATAAAATGGGAGTCATGATTTAGGAAGCATTCAAGAATAATTTATAAGTTTAAATTGGGAGGATGAATTTGCAGATTCAAATTGAGAAGTAATTTAATCACAAAAAAATTAAATGTGAATATAAAAATAGTTGGGGAAGCTAATGAGAAGAAAGAAAATACAAGTGGAGAGAATCAAAGAAACTAACCCAAATTCACTCCACAAAACCATCATATTTAACTTACAGGGACACTGCCTCTCATGGAGAAATCTAAAAAAATATCCCTGTAATTAAAACTACAGTTCTATGCATCCTTATTTTAAGCATGGAGATAAGCTTGTGTCATATCCAGTAACTTAAATTAGTTACTACAAGTCAATGGAGTTAATTTTGCCTCAATCTATATTATCTTTCTCTCTCTTGCATTCCGCCAAAGAGACTCTCCCAATCAGTCCCACCCTCCCTGCGCCTCCCCCCCTTCTCCCTCTCTCTCTCTCTCTCTGCACACACACACACACACACAAAAGTAATAATAGATCAACCTTATGTCCTCAATTCCCCCACAAATCCTTGTTTCACATGCCCAAGTTTTTTTCTCTATTGATTGTGTACGTCTTATGCACTCTAAATTCAAATCATCATATAATAACATGTGGAAACAAATCTATAATAAAGTTTAACACTAACTTCATTTTCCAAGAAGCTTATCAAACCCCAAATACAGCGTGGTGAACCTTCAACAACAAATATCATATTAACAACTTGCTTAAATCAAGGCCCATCATAAATATTCATAACTCAAAACTTACTAGTTTAGTTAGAGTCCACCTACATCTACATAACTAGTTGAGTCCCTCCAAATCAACACGTATAAGCAATACATTTAAAAATGATTTTTCCTTCGAGATTTTTAAGGCTTTCATCACTTAATCTCCATCAAAGTACTTCATGACAAAGCACAAAGTTTTCTATTGAAAATAAAAAACTTTTGCCAAGTAATAACCATACCTAATCAATTTTTCATGAATTAGAGAATACTTTATGAAGTAGGAGATAACTATGATGAGTTGGTTTTGAGCACAAACAAGTATGAAAGGTTCACCCTTCAATTATTAGAAATCAAATAATCAGAAGAAACATGCCAAAAAACTTTAAACATAAAAGTTAAGGGCATCAAACAGACCGTCAAATCATGTCTTCTATCATCTTTACTCGGGGCAGAAGTGTTAATTGGCTCAGCCATGGTTACATCTTGAGATCCTGACGCCACACCATCAGCTTTTTCTTGTTTAGAAGCATCTTCAGCAGCCTTTTTGGCAGCTGCTTCTTGCCTAGCCCTTTCCTCTTCCATTGAAACTCTCAATGCAAGAGCTAGCTCGGGATCTATATTAGGGTCTACACCAAACTCAAATCCGGACAAACCACCAGCTGCAGCAGCGACAGCAGCAGCAGCAGCAGCAGCAAAACCACTTCCTCCATCACCATCACCAGTAAAGATGGGTGTGCTATTAATGATAGATATTTAAAATATGATCATGATATGTCAAAAATATATGTTACAAAAATCATGGATACTTCAACAAACCTTAATATTGCATCAGAGAGAGCAGTTGGTCCAGGGGGAATATTAACTATGTGACTGTTGCCATTTTTATTAACCGCTGCAACAAGTGCAGCCAACTTCTCAGATTTTCCATCATCGGATTCCCCAAAATCAACAACATCAAGAGCAACACTATTCTTCTTCAATGTTTTGCCAATAGTCTCCAGCAACTTCTTCTCATGCTTAATTGGACTACATTGCACAAAAGAAAATAATGAAATTGCAAACCTTTAAACAAATTTGTGATGAATAAACTGGTTATTAATTACTACCTTCCGACAAAGACTATGATCCTCTGTTGCTGATGTTTGTTTTGGCGATGTTTGAGAGCCAATTGAGCAACTTGGATTCCGGATACCAAATTTAATTCACTCCCAATCTCCAGACCTAAGAGAATAGAAGATTAGCACAAAAATATGATGACATATACACTTGGAAGCTACGTGACCCACCATGTAAGGAAGAGATGAATTAGTGCTTGGTACATCAGTAAATAGTGCTAATAGGATTGTGGTAGCACTTCCAGCAAGAGTAAAAGGGAAGATCTTCGTGCAGGCGATGCAAAGTTTGTAATACAACTCAAAATATCTCCTCATAATTTATAAAGGAAGATTTACATACATACCACTCAATTCTTATGTATACATATCCAACACCTAAAATTCATTATTAACGTATATGCCACCTTACTTAACAATTTAAAGGAGTATTTCACATTTAAAAAGTTAAAATAGTGGTATTCTTATGAGACATAAAATATTTAGGTGGTATAAATGTAAAAAAAAAACAAAGCTAGGTGCAAGATATGTAAATACATAGGAATTAGCTGGTATGTAAGCATATGCCCAATTTATAAGGGAACGAATGAAGCAAACATGCCATAGTTGCAACCTAATATTTTTCATAAACAAAGATATTTTAGATTCTTTCTGCCCTATCATACCAACAACCATTTGAACTCCTTGATTACATTAAAAATGCATCACCAAAATTAGGTTTTTTAAAATTTTGTTGACATCTTGCTGTCGTGTTATCAAGACAATGTCTTTATTATTTTGCTGGCATCCTAAGATTGCAGATATTCAAAGGGTTCAACCCATTACAATCTTAGATGTCAGCCAAATTAGCCACTGTGGCCTTCATTATAAGTATAAAAATGAGAAAAAATAAATTAATGATTGTTGCTTATTCCAGACAACACTATAACTTTCACAAACAATGCTATTGACAAAGCAGACCCATAAGATAGAAGGACAATTAACTAAAAATGGAAGAGAACAGGCATTAACCAAACCGCCTTACCATGCATACAAGCCAAGATCTTCCCAAGGTCACTAGTTGGAGTGACTAAAACACGGACTCCTTTAGCCGCCATAGTGAGCAAGCCCACCGTATTTTCTGGATTCAACTGGAAAAACAACCAAATCTCGATAAGCAGGGATGAATACCAAGAACTAGAAGATCATGAGCAAAATTATAGCAAAAACCCATCTAAGTGGGATCAAATTAAAAGAACAGCAGCAAAAAACTTGAGAAAGAAACCCTTATAGAACCTGAATTTCTTCACTTGAAAATTACCTGGGTTTTAGACCCACATACGAGATTGATAGCGTCCGCTTGAGCCTGGAAACGAGTTGGAGCGTAGTCTCCATTCCTCATCCACTCCGAATTGTCGATACAAATCATGGTGGCCTGCGAGAACAGGATCTTATGTTTAAACAAAAACCCTAGCTACCAAATCCATGGCCGAAACCATGGTGACATTCCAAAGCCACCGTAAAGAGAAAAGATAAATAGACTGAAAATCATTTCTCAATCGTGTAGTATTCAAGTTCAGACCTCCAGAACCATGGTGGCAGCGCGCGAGCCGAGGCGACTCGGTGACACAGGGAAGAAAGGACGAAGAGGAAGGAAGATCAATGGAGTCGCTTGGGTTCAATGCTTTTTTCTAGTTATTATGCGTTGAGCTGCGAAAAGCATCCTTTTTAAGGAAATTTACATATATGCCGCACAATTTTATGTATTTACATAGGTACACCTGAAAATTAAAAATTCAGTTTTTATGTTATTATGAGAAAATTTTAGCAAAATTGTAGAAATATACATGTTGTTATCATTTTAGAAAAATATGCCTTAAATGTTATTTTAGACCATAATATTCTTATTATTAATGTTCATGATTAATTTAAACAAGATATGAATAAGATTAGAATAAGATTTGAATGGTATTCCATCAATGTTATGCCCATGTGCAAATCTTCTTGGAATATGAATTGAACATGGTTAAAATATAGTCTAAATTCAATGCAATGAAAAAATAATAATAATGTTTATGTAAAGTTCAAACATGACTTGAATATAGATCTACATTATTCGATCATGGTTTCAACATAAGTTCAAGATAGTTTAAACATGATAAATTGGAGCGGCATGGTGCAATTCAAGAGTTGTAACATGAAATAATATTTGTGTATGTTGGTACTGATATTAACTAAAGTCTATAAAAAAATTATCTTTGACAAATAAAAAGTGGAATTATACAACTTTTATTGTGTATTAGTTACACCATAACCTTGAATGCCTTAACAGAAGCTGATTCTTATCAATGTATTGTGCGCCTAGAATATAAAATTAAATCATATAAAATATATTATGTTCTAATGTAGTATTACCTATTTTCTTTCTTTGCATTTTGTTTGCAGAGATACAATATGAAAATATCTTACTTTGGTACTTGGTCATTCTCTTCAATTCACTTGTCTTGATTTTATTCTCTCTCTTTTTTTTTTTTTTGCTAATTTTTAAATCATAATGCGGAAGTCTTGACTTCTTCATCTCTTTATGGGCATCATTTCCCTCTTTTGAGTCACATACCTTCCAAATAGTTGCTTCTTTGTAATGTTTACATGAGTCGTTCAAACCACAATGCCCAACATTTTAATTGCATTGCATATCCAACTCTTGTCGAAACTTAGCCAACAAAAAAATGCTGTCTTAAAACATGATAATATAAAAAAATTATTAAAATTTAATTTTAATAAGAAAATAGACGATTAGTTTTTTGCGTAGAGAAGCCTCACCAACCACACCTAAAATGTGATATGTGCTCCCTGGTCACATGGTTAATTTAATGATGACATCATATTATGTTTATAGTCAAAACCCAATATGTTTCTTAGTGATATGCATTTAAGTGTTCTATTTTATTTGTTGAATCTAACAGGAATAAAGCATTCTATTAGCCTTAGTTAGCCTAAAATTAGGTTTTTAACTTAATTTCACCCTTAATATTTGAAGTCCTATTATATAAAGTAACACTTGATTTTTTATTATTATCTTTTGAGTATCCTTCTTGGCTAAATAGTCTAGTGTCTATCATATGTTAAAATGATATAATTATAAAATCTTGATTGAGCTTATATTATATGCTCAAACTAAACCTCCATGAGTATATGATAGTTTAATCTTTTTTTGTTTACCCTGAGGGACATAAAATCATGAATTTGTGAGATTAATCTCTTTACCATTTTTAAGAAGGGTATAATCATAAAGGCTTATAGCTATGGGAAATCTTGAAACCAAAAACATGAAATCTCTACAAGAGAAGAAAATCTCTAAATAATGTTTTATTACTAGTAAATTTGCCTCGTAAAAAGAATGCACTTTTTAAAAAATTTGTTTCAAAACCTAACGAGCGAGTTCTTAAAGTCTATAGCTATTAGCTACAAATTTTACATTAAGTTTACAACAATCCTCTACAATCTGTCATAGAAATCTCAAATAGAATATAATGTGTTGTGACTATTGAACATAACTATCAAACTATATCCCTATTAATCACATTGGTAGGTTGAATGTGCTACATTGAATTCCATTGAGATCTTCTACAACCATCTATCATGACCAACTAGACTAGATCAATACAATGGGTTTAAAGGGTCAACATTGTTAAGTTGTATTTGCACCTTGAGATTGTGATAGTCATTCTTATAGATTCATCATTGTTATATTTAGAAGAAAAAGGGACAACTTTAGTACTTTATAGGGAGAGTAAATACAAACCACCAACACCATACCACCATACCACCTCACCACCATATTTCAATCCAATGGCATAAAATCCAACATAACACTCTCTAAGTCCAAGATGAACCACCTTATTTTATTCATATTATTCAAATCCATTAATTTTACCCCCCTCTTTAGGCTAATTGACCTTCCTACTACCTTCCAAGTCAAGCATAACATATCTACCACCATCTCATTTAGGTTCACCCACTTCTATTGAGTAGGGATGTGTTGGTAGATCTGATTCATTAGATCCATGTGTGTGTGTGTGTGTGTCTGTGTGTAATTTTATTTTATTTTATTTTTTGAGGTTGAGGGAGAGACATAACTTTTAAGTAATATATTTTTTAAAATTATGTTATACCGATATATTTTTTATACACATTTAATCTTTTAAAGTAGGCAACTTATCAAATTAGATATATAACAAAAACTAAGTTAACTATTATATCTCAAAAGAAGATTCTAATAGATCTTTATGACATGTAATTTTGAGAATTTATGGTAACATTATTTTACTTATAAATTTTTACTTGAAAATTTTAATATGTATGTCGGTAGACTAATTATTATTTTTATTTTATAAAACTTTGTAGGTATAGGATGCTAATTCTATATATTAGTTGCTCAATTCCACATTGAATATATGAAGAGAATGACAAATAAAAAATTGTGCATTTTCATATGATTTTATTATATAATTAGTTTACTTTCAAGGACTTGCATAGAAGGATATATTGAAATGTAATCTTACAATGGTAAAGTTACACATGCATCAACCCCAACGCTAACAAGACCAATATTGGGTCAATAATAGATCCTAATAGTTGTACATAAGTATGAATAGTTTTTATTAAATATTAAGTCGTTTAAAAAATATATAATCATTGCTACATAGTAATATTTTATAGGACAAATGTATGTATTAAGCTTTCTCAATAAATAGACTTTGGTTTGTAGACCCCAGTTGTAAGGAGGAAGAAAAGAAGAGAATTTATCGATTAGGATCCAAAAAAACATGAGAGAAATTATAGATAAGGTTCCGAGCTCATATGATGCCCAATCCTCTCAAACATCTTATTTTGGCTCTTCAAAAAACATGCATGCCTTAGGAGGTGGTGAGACAAAAAACATACATACCATTTAAGTTTAATACAACGATCATTAACTGATCGATGCATTTAGTTCAGTTGTCCCGAGCGATCAGTTGTTTGACGATGGCTCCTGCCAAGTCAAAGCTGGTTGATCGACTAGCTGTTATCGGGCGCCTCTGAAAGAAGCTTGGGTAGTTGGGACCGTAAGCGCGATATTTTAATTGACTCCCTCAACAACATGGATCTGCTGACCCGATAGAGCGGTCGGTCATCGAACGGCTGGTTCAGATAATGCTCCCTCATTCTATTACTTTGAGTTCTCGGTCATCCTTAGCGGTCTGGTTACTTTGAGACTCTTGCTGGCAGTTTTAATTTGCACATTTAATATTCTCTCTACCGACTTGAATCTTCAAGCACGCATCAATACCTATGAAGCCATACTCACTTCAACTACAAGAAATGAATAGATTCACACAAACCCACCCACATATAAAATGTGGATCATTTATTTTGGACAGCCTGAAATTTTTATTACAATTAAAAATTTATTTGAGATTTATCAATAGAAAAATCATAACCATTGCAAGGTCCATTCTTGTAATTATTTACTCAACCAACAAATAATACATTTGCTATACTAATTCATTTAAAATTTCAACTATGATTGTTCTAGTTATACATAACTCTTTATTACTTTCAAGGGTCACTTGCCTATATACCGCCTAATTTTTATAAATTTACAAATCTAACCCTTAAATTTTGCTTATTATACTTATACCACTCAAATATTTCATATCACATATATGCTATCCAATGGCACATTGAAACATAATTGCCCTTTATTGTAATTAATGAAACCCTCCATGGGTAAAAATGTAAAAAAAAAAAAATTATCTCCATTATATTTAAAAACATTTTCTTTGCTTATTTACACTCCTGAAAAGAATTAGAATTTTTATTTTTTTTCGAGAAATGAGGAGAGGCTATTATACGAGCCTCCGATTATCCCTAATGCGCCTAACAATTCGAGCACCACCTCCTTAAGATCAATTGTGTTAGAGGGGATTCGAACCCCCGACCCGAGGAGTCTTATACCCAGATGCCAACCAACAGGTCGGAATATGCGGCACGGAAACAGTAAGATGATGATAATAACATCACGAGTAATTCATGCAAATAAAAATAGAAAAATATAATCAAACCTAAATTTGTTTTAACATAAATGTAATTGCATAGATAACTAATTAAAATTTTTTGTACATTTATCTCAAAATAAATTTAACAAGTTTAATTTTATTGCAGATAAAAAATTATTATTTTTTAAATAAAATCATCACCGGAGCTCGTCTACTGTCTTCTTCACTTCGAATCCATTGTCTGACCAAGCAGCATATCCACCTCCCATATTCTTCACGTTCTTGAAACCCTGAAAAACATCAAATACGAATGAAAAACAATGGGATTTACATACATACCACCCAATTTTTATTAATTTACGTATCTACCACCCCAATTCTTCCACGTTAACCATCTCTACTACTCACTCTATTCAAGCTGCTGAAAATGTAATGCTTTACAAATTCAATAATTTAGCATTAAGGGCCAGTTTGGGATGGCTTCAGCCTTTTCGGGCTATGCAAGACAAAATAATTTCTTACAAAATTACAGTATGAATCATAAATATATATTTTTTTCTAAAAATCAGATAACAATTTTCTTACAGTCATCATACTTTAATATATTAAGTTAAAAATAATAATAATAATAAATTGCTAGAAAACAGCAAGAAAACAGTTTCTCAAATGAAAACTTACTGACTGCCTGAAATGCAAAGCAAACAGAAAACTGTCTCAGACAAATCATAAACCACATAAGAAACAACAAATAACACTTTCTTTTTAATGGAAAGCGTTGAGATTATCGGATTAGGATATCCTAAGGAGGTGTTTGGTAGCACCCTTCTAATGAGATTTACGTATGAATTTAACATAAATTCAGCTGAAGTGAAAGATAGGATAACTAAATTAGGTGCTCCACTAAATTCAATTTCCTCTATGTAACGTCTCTTTCTCAATGTAAATAAACATTTACTAAATTTAACAAATTTGAGAAAACACGCCAAAGAGACACTACACGAGAGATTTGAATTATCGTCGAAAATTTGTGTAGGAAATTTTCGACGCATATATTTGCGTCGAATTTTGCGACTGATTTGCGGCAAAATTAAATTTATTCTCTTAGCGTCGGATTTACGTCTGAATATTCAACACAAACAACGACGAAATTAACAGTGGTGTTGTGGTGTTTTTTGAGTTGTATTTGCGTCCAATAAATCGAAGCAAAAAACTTTACTTAAAAGCATTAAAAAAATCCGATGCAAAGTAGATGATAAAGCCGACGCTATTGACCTAAAAAATCCATCCCTCACCTTCAGATTCATTTTCTCCTTCGTGCCTATGCCCCCTGTCTCCTCTCCTCCTTTCCGCGACACAGAAACCCTCTCCTCCTCCCTCTCGTTGTCGCCAGTCGCTGCATCTCTCTGTCGTGGGTTGTCGTTCCTACCTCTAGCCACTGAAATCCGTCGCGACCCTAGCTGATCGAAAAATGTAACTTCGGTCATTTTTTCCTTTTTTTTTTTTTTTAATTTTGGTATGTATCTAACATTTTTATGTGTTAGGAATGTATATCCATAAGATTTCAGCAGTATGTATGTAACATTTGAAGTTTAGGAGTTGGAAATATATATGCATAAGAAAGTTGAGTAATGTAGATTTTAGGTTTAGAGTAATGTAGATTTTAGTTTTAGCTCAAGATTTTAGGTTTATATATGTCTATCCACTTCTAGGTAATCTGCAGGTGAGATAAGCTGTTAGAGAAGGATAAAATAATGAGAAATTGGAACTTCTATAATATATAATGTTATGAGAGGTAAATTGTCATTCTAAAATTAATAAACTTAATGTAAGATAAGATAATTAGTTGTATTAGTTGCATTAAGAAGTTACTAAAAGAAGTCACAAGAGTCCAAAAAACAAGAGTCCAAAGAGTCCAAAAATTATTGATGTCAATTAAAAAGCATGCCTTTAAACTTAAGTCACATCAATTTTTTCAATATGTGACCTACAAAAACATTCTCCAAGAATATGAAACTCCCCATTTAATGGGTTTACCTACAAAAGCAAACCCCCAATGATATTTTCGTGTAAGCTTGTTCAAGGAGTTTAGTAATAGAGAAAAGTTCTTAACGTTTAGTAAGGTGGTATGTATGTATAAATTTAAGTTTTGGTGTTAGCTAGGTATGTATATACAAAAGAGTTTAATGGTATGCATATAAATATTACAATTTAGGTGTTAGGTTTGTACATAAATATTATTTGTGTCTGAATATTTCGAGTTATATGCATAGGTAAGGTTGTATGTAGGTATAAATTGAAGTTTAATTGAAGTTAGGTGTTGGGTTTTTTATTTTTGTTTTAGGCATAGTTATGATGTGTTTTTCGTTTAGATTTTGCTCATTCCTCATTTTACTCGTGTATACTGCTCTTGATTATTTTTTTTTGTTAGTCCCACTATAGATGACCACAGATGGTGCTAGTGATCAGCCACCTCAGTGGATGAATGCAAGTAAAAAATTGATTTTTTTATATTTATTTTGACTCTTAATATTTAAATGATAATTAATAATTGGTTTTTATTATGTAGGAGAAGTACGAGCAACTCCGGGAGAGACAGCTCCCCTCTCAGACGACGAGCACTACCAACAATAGTGGCAGTCAGTTTACCACAACGCAGTATTAGTTCGAGCTATGAATGTGGGCGGCGGGGAAGAGGAATGTCGAGGTCTTTTGTGCTTCTGTGGTGGCATGAGCTCGTCACACCCAAGTAATGCAGAGCTTGCCAGGCAATTCGTTATCACTGAGGAGGTTCATCATCTACGTGAAGACCAACAGAGATTTGAGTTGAGTATAACACGATTGACGAAGATTATAGAAGATCGTTGGGGTAAGCGAACGGTGATTGTTTTAGTCCAGGAGGAGGACAAGAAGGAGGAGGACAAGGAGGATTATAATGAGTTTTTATGTACTTTTAATCTATGAAATATTTGAACTTATATTGATTAGAGTATAGATCTAAGCTTTTGATAATTTAGATTTGTGATAGTATCTTTTTTTTTCAATATTTATATTTTTTTAAAAACTCTGAATTGTGATATAGCTTGATGGAATGTTGCTATGATGTAAATTAATCATTAATTTTGTGTATCGATGCATATCACTTACTCTCACTTTTCCAGTTTTTAGACATAACTATTACTTGCGTCTTATCTTTACTGCACTGTTTCTTTCTGCATATGATTATATTCCAGCCAGTACTAATCTTTTTAATGTCATTCCTTTATTTGCAGATGACCACAGGTATTCAGTTCTGGGGACACTTGAGACCACCTACCGTAGAAGGAAGAGGGGGTTGTCTGCTCTTGTCGTAGCTTCCATTACTACTACACCTTCTGTGGTAGCTTCTCCCCCATTTGCTGCAGCTACACCTTATGTGGCACCTCCTTCCCACTAACTGTTGCCACCCCTCTTGTGGCACTTGCTCCCGCACTCGATGCCGCCCAATCTCTTGTGATGTCTGTCGCTTCTACACCTACTCCCCCACTTGCTGTTGGCACACCTTTTGAGCTTGGTCCGTCCACTCCTGCCCCTCCTTATGAGGGTACACTTATTGCCTGAGCGAGACTCTTAAGTTATTTTTAACATTATATTATATTTATTCTTCATGTTATATATTTTTTGGTAACTAATTTGTTTCTTAAGCAGATTAATTCTCCGCAACTCGCCTGTCACCTGCATCACAGAGATTATCAGGAGCAGTTACAACGAGTTATATATGTCAAGGAAGCAGATACCCCCAACCACTCGAGACTTATGGTTAAGAAAGTTTGAGGTGTGATCATGCAATTTGAATTAAATTTGTAAATTTGATTTAATTTTTCATACTAACACATGAATTATTTTTAACGTTGCAGTCTTTTACCTGGCTCTCAGAGCACCACAAGCAGATCCACCGAATCTTTGAGATTCGGGAAGGAATCTCCTTGCCGACATGTTCACAATAGTCCATTGAAGGGGTGAGCAGTCTGTCGGAGGGGCGACCAACCTGCCGGAGGGTTGAGCAGCCTGCTGGAGGGGAGAGGGGCTCTGGGATCAGGTGACTGCAGTTTGGGCCTCTCCTGATTATAAGAGGAAGAGGCAGACGAACAAGACGAATCGGGCGAAGGAGAGGGTCAGGGGAGTTGCGCTCCATACCGGTGAATCGGTCCCCCATACGAAGCACTACTGGAGGCTGATAGGGTTTTTTTCGATGTTCAAACATTAATTCAATTTTTGAAGTATTTTTTTAGCGCTAACCATTTTTGTACATTACACAGGCCAATGAGTTAAGATGTGCTCCCTTCGTTGAGGAGCCACATGTTTGAACTCATCGACACCCAAAGACTGCATAGTGGATCTCGTAGCATTTCCAGCGAGTTGTCGTAAGTTAAATGCCTTCAAATAAAAGTCTATTTTGACTCTAACTGTTGAAAATATTAATTAAACGCTGGTTTTCATTATGCAGAAGGAGTTAAAGCAAACTCCGGGAGAGGCAATTGGCGCTCAGTCCCACACATCCACCAGTAGTAGTGGTAGTCCATCTACCACTACGCATTCTGAGTACGAGCTTTGGACCCAAGCGACAGGGAGGGAGAAGGCGAGGATTTAACGCCTTGGAACGAAAGACATAGCCTTCGAGGCTGAGCTCTCCCGTGGTCCCATTCTTACTTCCTCGAGCACCTCACAGCCAGACCAGGAGGCTTTGTATAAACAAAGCAGATGCAAGTATGACACAACAACTGACGCAAATTATTTGCGTCAGAATATTTCAACATAAATTGGACATAAATAAAATTTACGATCGCCCGATTTAACAGCGAAAAAAATCAAACGTAAAGTAGACGCAAATCCAAAAATAACCCTTAAATATTGTGGGTCCCAGCCAACACAAATATACTTAATTTTCGTAAAGAGATTCATGCCAAGCACACAATTTCTAGATTTGATGAATCGAAATTTTTCAGATCTACTAAATTCTATTTAATTTAAATCCTACCTGCAGCCAAACACCCTCTAAATAAAATCTATAATAACAGCAATTAATTAAAATTTAAATTACAAAATATATCCAATTACTTTAAAAATTCATTCATGATTTTTTACTTAAAATTTCCTTTTTTCCATTTTTATAACAGCCATCGTTGCTCTACAGCTTAAGAAAAATGGAGTTCTGAAAACTCACAGCTACGAGAAGATCTTCTGCTGCTTTGAGAGAACGCACACCGCTCTGGCATCCCTGTAATAATATTGAAACCAAAATCACTAAACAAAATCATTACTCAAATTAAAAAAAAAACAGAAATTAATTAAATAAAATTCAAGCTTAAAATCATTAAAAAAAGATAGGGAGAGGAAATGAGTACCACTACTATGAAATCATCTCTGTTACAGAGACGAATCACTTCCTCCAAAAATTTCTGGTTCTTCACTCTCCCTGCATCGAAATTAATATTTACTAAGTTCCGTACACAAACAATTACAAAAATTAATCAAAATTCAACAATCGGCGATGCTGAGCAATTTTCAGAATTTAATCCCTTGCAGATTCACCAAATCTGATTTTACGGAATTCAGAAAATCCTACCGGTGCCCTAAAAAGCCCTAATTTCAGAGAAAAGAAGAGGGGGGAGGAAGCTCGCCTTGAGGGGTGAGGAACATATAAGGAACATTGAGAGATTTCTCCAGATGACCATTTTCGAATTCCTCCGCAGTCCTTCAATAGAGATAAGCATAGAATATATGCAGAGAAAATAGTAGAGAGAGAAACCGAGGGAGAGAGAGAGGGCCGAACCTAACGTCGAGATAGCGGTGGCCGGAGTTCAGTAGGGTTTTGGTTGAATGCACATCAATAGTGACGACGGCCTGGTCCGAGCTACAAGCGCTTGACAGTGCAGCCAATAAGAGAGAAATCGACCACCATTCCCATCACAGAACACCCATCATAAGCAGAACGAGACACAGAGAGAGAGAGAGAGAGAGATTCTTACCTGGGATTGGGATCCATGGAGGAAGTCCTGAATATTTGGAGTAACAGGGGGGCGGAGGAGAAGCGCCGCCGCTGGTTCTTTGATCCCGGTGGATGGTAGAAGATCACCGTTGGAGTGGACTCCTGATCTAATATTTTTTCCTATAAGATGAAGCTATTTTGGATTATTATAACAAAATTAAAAAAGAAAAATTTCAGACCGTGGGTTATTAGCAGCTAGTAAGCAAGCACTTAAAAGGCCCGTATGAGTAGCTTATAAATATGTGGGGATTTTTAAAAATATGGTATTACTGTTTGGATCGTGCGTTTTGTTCATTTATCTGAAAATTCAGTTCTATTTTTACACTAAATACAGATCACGAGTAGAACCACGCTATTGACCCTTGGGCCCCTTTTTTAGGATAAACTATTTTTCCTGAAACGTAAAAGCTGACCCAAACACACTGAATCGTGCGTTTTGTTCATTTATCTGAAAATTCGGTTATATTTTTACACTAAATACAGATCACGAGTAGAACCACGCTATTGACCCTTGGGCCCCTTTTTTAGGATAAACTATTTTTCCTGAAACGTAAAAGCTGACCCAAACACACTCTAAATCTGGTGAAAAAACGTAATTTTTAGGTCCAATTTTCTCACAACACAAAAAAAATATATAATTTTGTCAAATAGTAACACGATCAGATATTTTGACGGAATTTTATGTGTTAATATCTTTAATTTTAAGACATTTTTAAGTCATAAAAAACAATGAATAGAATATTTTAATCATCATAATTTTAAATATAACATTTTAACTTGTAATAATTTTAAATATAATATTTTAATTATTTAAATTTTTTCCTTAATGTTTTGACTAGTGGGTGCTCAGAATGGTTATAATGAAAAAAATAGTTAAAATATTATATTTAAAATTTAAATGTTAAAAAAATTATATTTAATATTTTGGATGATAAATATGTTGAGATATGTGAAGTAGTTAATATAGAGTTCTGACTAATTAGGAGACTCATATTCTGATTATTAATTTCTGATTTAATTGTCTTTAATAGAAGAAGGAAAAAAAAAAACTCCAAATGGCCATTTTCTATCTAATATCTCCTTACAAATTAAATGATTGTTCAAAACAGCTTTAAAATATATATATTTTTATTAATATAGTTGATAAGGATATTTTATAATAAATTACATAATTATCCACTTATCTTATCTTGTGTACACCTGTGTTGGATAAAAATGTGTTATTGAAAAATTAATTTTAAATTAAATTGATTTTAATTGTTTGTATTTAAATTTAATGAGTAATTTACTCACAAATTTGAAAATTATATTTGTGAATATTGTGTTAGAAATACTATGGAATTGTACAAAAAATATTAAATTAAATTTCTTTCTTTGCAAGTTCATTCCTCCCTTTTTTTAACTTCTTATATAGTATTATCTTTAAATAAATTTAGAGTAATTATGTAATCTAGTTTCAAATGTTTTTTTTTTTAATGGAGACTTGGTGCTTTAAAACTCAAAGCAATAAAAAAAGACATAGCTAGAGCTTTAATAGCCTTAATGAGGGTTAGGTCGAAAACTTTTGCATTAGCCAATAGCCTTAGGGCCACCTGCAAATTATTAAAATGGTGTTGAGCAGCAGCTGTGGCAGGAAGCTGTTGTGCAGATGTAATTGAGCAGAAGCTGGTTGTGTATTTATTTTTTATTGTTTTGAAGAGTTGTGTTATAGTTGTTTCTGAATAAATTGTATTTTTACCTCTATATTGTAGTGTTGTTTATAATATAATTAATTCTACTAGCACATTCCATACTTTAAAAAAATATTTAGTTTGAATGTTACAAAATAAAAATAGACATATCAAAAAATAATGAGTAACACAACAATCAAAATTAAAAAAAAAAATCTTTAAAAATAACAATCCATACCTGAACCACCCCAAACATCTACACACACCACCAGCATGACATTGAAAAACCACCCCAACATCTACACAGACCACCAACACCACCATCACGGCGCCGAAGAATCACCCCCAGACCAACAGTACCACGAACACCAACATCACCACTAATAACACCACCCTTAAGATCCCCCAACATCAATACACTACCAACAACACCATCTTCAACATCAACACACACTACCATGGTGCAACATCACCACCAACAACACACAACACAGTGGTACAAAAAAATCATCACTAAAACCACCGCAAGAAACATCACCACCAATATAACATATCCTTCCTCTAACAAAGAGGGAAAACCACTAACAAGACCAACCAAAGACTAGAGCAGCAAGGCTATTCCAATTGAGCCCAAAATGAAGGCACGATTACAAGCAAGGCACCCAAAATATTGTTATTAAAAACCAAGTACTCTCTTTCATCCATCTTTCAAATTCTCACTCAAATATCAAAATTCATAATAAAACCCTAACCCATATTTTTCATTTTTATCAAATTCAAACCCGAAGATCGTGGCACACATAAATGCATCAAATTCATATTTCAAAAAATCACTTATGGGAAGGAAATGGTTCCTATGTATCAAGGCTCTTGAACTAAGACCCGTAATTCAATCTCTTTCTTATTAGAGAATTTACATAATAGAATTTCTTTTTTTCATTCTTTTCTTGTTAATTAGATAGATGTAGATTGAGAGAATCTCACTTATGAGACAGACAAAGAGTTTTCGACCCATAACTAGTAACTATTCTCTTGTCTTGTACAATCAATGAAAACATTCTAGCCAAAATGAAATAGAGGGGAGAGCTCAACTGAGCAAGCTACCCTAATGATCCAATAAAAAAATAAATGAAATCAATGTATGAAATTTTGATTTGTAAGCAACACAAAACTGAATGTAATTATCCAAAATAAAAGCTTTCCAAGCAGAGGACAGGAAGTTGCAAGAAGGACGCACAGACCACAATAGAAAAACTAGAAAATGCAAAAAACCAAACCATGGATCTCAAGGAGCAAGGCAGAAATGACAAATTTTTTAAACCATAAGCTAATTTCAATGCCAATAGTGTATGATAGAGATTACCAATGTGATAATGCCATTGAAACCAAGTATTCAGAGAAAAGATAGGAATGTCGGAGAAGAGAAATGCCACCAGAACCTACTAATCACAGTTGAGGGGAGAGGACGAGGAGCTAGGGCAGAACCAAGCACAGGTCTAAGCCTGAAAGGGATGATAGGAGGAGAAGCTAGGGCAAAGAGTCGAACTACAAAGATATCACATGAACAAAACGCGGTGCAGGGTCGAGGGCAACTGAGGTATTATCATGTGAATAAAACACGGGCAACGAGTTCGAGCCTGTAGTATGTGGTTTACTTCAATAAGCCAAAAAGCCACCATAATATTTTTTTTTTCCCCGAATGTTAGCTTCGTCGTTTTCCTATCGCGTCGCAGCTAAAAAGCAGCTCCAAACACAACCTTAGACTATAAGTTATTGGAGAACGAGCTATTTGTCCTTCTATTAGGGCTTATTTATAAGTATTTTATTAACTAATGAAACAGTTTGAATATTTTCATAAATATTTGATTATGAAATGAATGTGTTTAAATAATTTGTTGTTTAATTCAGTTATGTTTATGAATAATATATATTAAAGCTCAGAAACAAGCTCGATTACAATTTATTTATGAACAATATCCTTAAATATTTATTATTATGCTCAACGAGTATTGTTTAATACTGATAGTTTTTTTCCAATAATCTACCACATAAAGCTCGATTAAGGTTTGATTAAGGGCATGTTTAGGGTGGTTGTAGTTTTTTTTAAAAGATTGTTGTAAACTGTGGTGGAGAAAACAACTTTTTAGAAAATTGAGGTGTGAATTACCATTGAGTGGCCTAGAGATGTTGGTGAGAGGCGACTCGGTCCTAAGTCTATCTCATCAAAGACTGATTTGAGTATAATGTTTACGGAACTCACATTGCTAATCTGTATACTTCCTATCTGAAAGTTGACGATAAGGGCGATAACAACTATAGTAAAATTTTAGGAATTTCCTTTGGTGGGGAAGTCTATGTTAGTGAAGAGAAACAACGGGTGTTGTATGGTGTGTTTCACGGTCAAGGTTATCGAGTAAACTTCCTAGCATAATCTCTTTAAGCTGACTAGTCGGGTATGACACCTGCAATATAGATTGATTGAGCCTAAGCGGGCTCACTGAGGTTTTTATTATTCAATGACTTTTTTTTGTCACTGAGTCGCCGCCTTAGCTGTCACAAACTCATTAAGCTTCATGACTTTGATTATTTTCTCAATCAAGGGACGAAGGTGTCGATATCCTCTATATCATGATCATGATCCCTGTAATATGTGCATTGTTTTTTGGGGTCTCAGAGATAGCCTTCTGACTTCATTAGTGGTTTTTTTTTGAAGAGGTCAATATTCAATATGGCTTCTACTGCTTAGGCAATCGAGATTCTCAGTGATGTTGGTCAGGGAGGTTCGTGGGTTGGTGGTGTTGGTCTCCTTTCGTTACATCAATTTGCATGTCATGATAGATAAGATCAATCTTCCTAGAAGACCTTTTTATCTGCCGCCCAACCCTTTGAGGATGGTTGCTCCTCTAAAAGGGCTACCGTGGGCGGACGTCAATTTCTCATTGATCCCTAGCCTTCTACGCGAGGTTTTTTCTTTGGTGGCTATCGATCGGGTGACCCTCTTTTGATGGTTAGGGGAAAATTATATTCTTTAACAAATATATGGTTGTTGGTAGTTTCAAATAGCTCAGTTAGCAGCTTGGGACATTGCAGACCTAAAACATAGCAAAACAAGCCTCCCCCGAGTTCTCGTGCCACACGATTGTAGGCTTGTGGTCTCAAACTTACAACATCTCTCCTTGGAAGTGGGTTATGAATGCATGCAAGGATTCATCTTGCTCTTGGCACAGTTGTATGAGATCTTGTGAATTCCCGAGGCTTATGCACACCGACATACTGAGCTGCAAACACTCTCTTGAAGTTGGTGTAGGAGCTAATCACTCACAGTGATAAAACATTGGACCAACAAAGGGCTGACTCGCTAAATGTGGCCAAGAACATACAAAATTTGATTGTGTTGTTGATTCTCAATAATCATACGATCAATTCAAAAGAGATAATATGATCGGTCAGATCTAACCATCATCAATAAGATTCAAAAGCTTGGATTTTGAAATGTTATGGGAGCTCGACTTCGAAGATTTTCTTTGAGATGGCATTTTCCGGCAGTATGAATTACGACGCTTCTATATGTTCATATTTTTTATGATAGAGGGGCACAAAGCCCACACTATTTGGGTAGTGTGTGTCATGATCTTATTCAGGAGCTCTTCCACAGTTCAAGCTGTTCATTATTTGCATGTGAGTGGGCAATGCCAATTGCGCTCTCTCGTTGGCAAGAGCGCCTTTGATTGTCTTCAGTATTTGTCCATTATGTTCGTTGATATGTTGTGTCACAAATTGTTCATTCTTTGCATGTGATTGGGCAATGCCAATTGCGCTCTCTCGTTGGCAATAGCGCCTCTGAGTGTCTTCAGTAATTGTCCATTATGTTCGTTGATATGTTGTGTCACAAACTCACGGGTACGAGTCATGTTGTCAGCGATTTCTCAAGGTTGGGATTCTTCTCATTGAGTGATTTCTTTTCTTGTTTGTGGCATGATCCTCGCTCACTACACCTTTTAGGACATTGAATATGAAATTATTTATGGATTACGCCCAAGGAGTTGAGGAGAGAGAGAGAGAGTACATGAATAAGTATTATTCTTTGTTGTTCTTATATTTATAAGATATATAATTTAAAATTTAACATATCTATATTGTCTACGAAATTCTCTTTTGTTGGTCTTTTATATTAACAGTCATAATTATCATTATTCTGACAAAACTCTTTTATCGCGATTCCTCGTTCTGCTTGCCCCAAGCAGATTTAAAATTTAACATATCTATATTGTCCACGAAATTCTCTTTTGTTGATCTTTTATTTTAACAGTCATAATTATCATTATTCTGACAAAACTTTTTTATCGCGATTCCTCGTTCTGCTTGCCCCAAGCAGGCAGAGTCTGCGTGATTGGGTTTGATTACTCGACACACTTCTCGTTAGTTCAGCCTGGACACCTTTTTTTTTGTTGACTGAAGGGTCTCCTACTCCGTGTCGGTTATGTTTGATTCTTCATGTGCATCATGTCGGTTCAACCAACCGGATAATTTGTTTCATGACAGCTTAAGGGTCTCCACACTCGCCGTGATTGATTCTTAGACATGTGACTTGTCCATGATCGTCTGATCCGGTCTAACATACTTCAAACATACTATATATATATATATATATATATATACACTCACAATTAAATGAATTTTGTTCGGTGTTAGTTAGAGAATTTAAATTTCCTTAATAAAGTGGTTAGATTCATGTTCAATAATTTCTCAAGCCTAAAATAAGCCCAACCAATTGCTCTGAATTGTCGCCCATACCAAACATCCAAATGTTTAGAATAGCAGGTGAAAGTGGCCTGCCAGCGCTAGAAACATTGCCACCTAAATGATTCTCAAGCCATTTTTCGCAGTAACCTGTAAGTATTTCATTAAGTGAACGTTAAGCCCTACAATAATTGAAAATCCTTGACATTACGTAACAATACAAAAATACATATTTTCAAGTTGTACATCGAAAATGTGATAGCATGGATCCCGAGGAGATCGAACAATTCAAAAAGAAGAAAGTACGATAAAAGATGGCTAATTGATAGAAAATGAAGAAACTCACTTTTGATGTAGTCGTTTGAGCCAAAACTAAAGGTCAACCAAGCTATGAGAAGTACGAAAAGAATGACATAACGATCCAAATTCGAACCAATTAGACTAAAGCAAGATAGATTAGAATCGTAGCTAATCCCTACAAAAAAGCTAATGAAAGGCATCAACTTACCTTATGGTAGATTCGATTCAAAAAAAGCCCAGTTTCATGGTCATTAGCTGTCACACAGACACCCTTGACGCTTCTCATTAAGGGTCAGGAATTGACAATACAGTAAAGTCTTATAGTGATGTCATGGGCCTCGTCAATGAACGAGTTACCTATCTGGTTACGGTGATTCACCCTCGGCCCAATAGCCTAGTCTCCCTTTGCCGACAGGAGCTCCTCATCATTTAGGGATGAGATCAACAACCAAACTAGATCAACCGATCGACAATATCTAGCCGAACAAATTAAAATTGCCGATCCGAAGCTAGTTTGGTTAAAACAATATCTAGCTGAACTGTTATAAAAAAACATTTTGTTTTTTGGTATGGTTTAATCCTCCGTGAAGAATGACTCGTGACTGTCCAGGGCACGGGTGTATAATTATGGAACGCCGTGTACTCCTTGTGATCAACATTTTGGCTCTTTCTCTCTCTTTCCCCTGCTTAACTCCTCTCTCCCTCAACAAGTTCTTCATTGTCTCTGTTCGGCTTTGGGCATGAGAAAGAGGAGAATGAGTAAAAATAACTTACTTTCTATGATTTTTATGTGCTTATATATTGCATCAGACTCTGTTGTTGCTGTTGGAGCAGGTTACGGTAAGTGTTCCTCCACCTTCTTCTTCTATCTATAGAGAGGTTTAGCTCCTCAGTTCTGATGTGGCTGGCCGTATGTTCTTGACGCAGAGGGACCTTCGTATGATTATTCTGCTTATACAGAGGTAATTTGTTCCTTGGTACATTTTATTTCTCCCTTTTCACCCCTTCCAATAATGTTGACTTTTTTGGGGTATTTGATGAGACTCGCTGCTAGGATGATCACCTTTTCACCCCTTCCAATAATGTTGATTTTTTTGGGGGAAATTTTGCATGTATACCACACTTCTTTATGTATTAATATATTTAACATTTTAATTTTAGGATAATTATATGCCATGATAGAACTATTGAGAATTTGATAAAAATGAAAAATATGTGTTGAAATTTTATCATAAATTTTGATATTTTAGTAAGAATTTGAAAAACAGATGAAATGGAGTGATTGATTTGTAAATACCAAGTTTGGATAGTCTTTTTGTAATTGCTCCTATTTATATTATATTCATAAAATTTTGAAATCCTAATTTGTCTTTTGCGAATCATGCTCTGAGAGTTAGAACACAGCGAATGAGAGAAGAAAGAGAGAGTATTATAACTCTCAAATCTATGTAGGGAGAATCGAGGGAAATGCATTCTTACTCGTATGTATTTTTGCTCCATACTTATAAAGACATGTTTTGTACAATTACAAAAAAGAGGAAACATTTATGAAAGTTGTTTTTACTCTCATTAAGACTCTAATAAATAGTATAAATTTTATGTCATATTTCATTTACAATTTGAATTTCAACATTGGCGGTGATTAACTGATCGACTAGCTTGAATTCAACCTATTGAGGCAACCGAGCGAGTGTCATTTGTGCCCTCTGGAGTACACATTGGTCTGTCAAGATGTTTGGTCGTATGGTGATCTTGCTCGGTGTCTTTTGGTACGACCGATCAGAGGGGTCGGTTGTGAAGTGGTTGTTCGGTTCAGACACGGGGTTGGTTGGTCAAATTTGATCAGCCGACTTTTCTCATAATGAGCCGTCGCTCATTTTCCGTTCGGTTCGATTCTTATAGGGCTCGTGTCTCACCTACCTAATTGGTTCGTCACCACGGCCAGAGCTCCCAATCTTGCAAGGGCTTAAGCATATCTTGTTGCTGTCCACATGGGGTATTTGATGAGACTCGCTGCTAGGATGATCACACTTCACTTTCGGCGAGACTTGCCGCTATCAAGCGGGAAACCATTTCCAGAGCTTGAACGTATCCCGGGTTTGGAGATGCGGCTTCATGTTTGGACTTGAATCAACAGAACGAACAACCCTTTCATCTTGGTTGTTCGTTTTGTTTGAGATTCATGCTAGTATTTTTGGTTGTTGACCTCATCCTTGGTGAGGTATGTCTTTATCTCTACAGTCTAGGATCTAGCTATAGGACTTTTTTAATGACTCTCATAGAGGACTAGCATTGAGACTCACACCACTTAGAAATTCAAACCACTTCTTGACTTCTGGTAGTCTCATGTGTATGGTTATGAATCTCAACTCTCGGTTGAGCCGATTGAGACTAGCACATTGAAACTCAAGATAAGTTCCCATGAGAATTGGAGATGCCCTAAGAGGACAATTGATTTAGGGTTTAATTCTTTGAGCACCACAATTCTCATCATATCACATTTCAATTCACGCCCCCACACACATAAACCACAAAACACTCACACCATAATTCACATCACCCACACTACAATTCACATACACTCCACCATCAAAAATTAAAATCAAAATTTCAAAAATTTCTACAGATCAAAATCTAAGACCAAATCAAACCCATTTTGACACCCAACTCAAGCCCACCTTCAAGCCACAAATTTGATGCCCTTATGGGCCACTCTTCATTATTAACATTCCCACATTAATCCACTTCATTTATCAACTTAAATTAAATTAACCATGACCAAAATTCAAGCCTAAATTCAAGAGCCAAAAGTTAATTCCAAAGTCCATCATCATATATCCAAAGCCCAAAAGCCACCAAATCTAAACCTGAATCCATCAACACAAAATCAAATCCAAATAAAATAAAATAAAATAAATGACTTGATGACATAAATTTAAATCCTCTCATCACATTAAAAAGAAATCAATCAAGCCAAAGATGTAAAGTTTCATGATTAAAATGTCCAAATTTAAGCTTATGACTAAATGAGGAGAAAATTCAAAAAATCACCAAAATCCATTTTCATGCAAGTCATGCAAGCCACATATCAGCCACAAAGCTTCATGCAAGCCACATGCAAGACACCACACCACATTTATACAAAGGATAACCACCTTTTTGAATTTCCCAAAAAGTGGCTAACCACTTTAATGACTCACTCAAATCTATGCTTATCCCAAATCCCCATGATTATGTCTTGTCTACCCAAGCCCCATAGAGCCCAATCTTGATGATGGGCGAGTACAACCCATTTCCATGATAATGACTAAAAAAGGCCCAAAAAAGAGCTAATTCCAATTCCCCCCAAATTAAGTCAAATCCCACATGGCTCCTCCTCATTAGCTCCTCCAATCTTCATAAAACTCTCCCTTCCTCTCTATCCCTTCAGCTTCCCCATCCCCTCTTCCTTGCCTTGCCGGGAAGAACCTAAGCTCATTCTAACCAAGCTACAACCTCCACTATTCCATGTCATGGAACAGCTACTCATCCATCTCCATTCTCTCCAAACAACAAGCCAAGGTAAGTTCCTTATTTCCTTTCCTTTTTTTATTTATTTTTACATATCCGCCGCCTAAACTTTCATATGCATGCATATCACACCAATCTTCTCATATATTTACATATACCTACCCTTTAATTCTTACGTATTTCCATCTAAAAAATCTATACTTCAATAATTTCATGCATACCACCCTATTCTCATGTATTTACATATCTAACCCCTTTAAAAAAATGAAATTTGCATGCGTACCACCCTTTCCTCATGTATTTACATATCTAACACCTTTAAAAAAAAAAAAAAAAGAAAAAAAAGAAATTTGCATGCATTCCATCTTTTGCTTCCAAAGCTTAAAAAAAAAAAAAAAATTACATACATGAGATTGAAAAAAATTTATATACATGAGATTTAATTCCTATGGATCTACATATCAAACACTTCACTCTAATTCCTTGCATGCGTGCCACCTTTCTCACCCTCCTCCTTTCTTCAAATGGTAAGCTCTCGATCACCTAAACCTCTCTCCGGAAAATCAAACTGAACCGAGCTAATTTGGGCCCTCTTCCTTTCTTCAAATGGTAAGCTCTCCGGAAAATCAAACTGAACCGAGCTAATTTGGTTGATTTGGTTCGGTTAAAAACAAATTTTCGTTTATGATTTTTACAATGTTAAATTATGAT